AAAAAAAGTCATAGTCCTAATCATAGTGGTTGTACAGAGCTCTGACTGAGGTCGTGTGGCCCACTTTGTAGCTGAGAGGCCAGGAGGAGCTTGTTGGAGGTTGTCTTGGAGCTGGGGTTACTCCAGGCAAGAGCCCAGGCATCCTGCCTTCAGAGTTCCTAACTGAGTACCTGCCCCTTCTCCTCTCTACTGCAGGGGAGTCTTAGTGTCCTTGCCTTTGACCCTGGTGTTGTCAATATTTGTGTTCCTACACACTTAATCTTTTTCTAGTGTCCAAAGCTGTTGAGGAATTCTGGATTAATTAACTAAAACCACCCCCTGTCGTTTGACCTCAGACCTTGAGCAGAGACTATTGCTGCTCTGTGTCTTTTTGATGAGTTTGCCTGGTCAGGAGGAAGTTGTGGTGGGTGAAGTAGCACTGTCTTATTTCACGTTGTTGATGGTATGTAATGTGAAGCTGGGAGAATGTTGTGTAATGTTGGTAATCTGTTCTGTTGCTGTAGTTTTTCACTATAATAATAGCTAAGACTTGTTGAACCCTTATGTGAGCTCTTACTGTGGTCAGTGCTTGTACATATAATTTATACATATGCTGCCTTATGAAATATGCATCATTATCCCCCTTTTGCATTTGAGGACCTTGAGGCTCACAGAACTTGTACCTTTACCTATGTAGTGTGAAGTCTCAAATCCAGGTCCTTCTGATGCCAAAGTTCCTGCTCATTACTGCTTCACAGCATACCTTCTAGAAAGCACAAGGCAGGAATACTGTTTAAAGCAGGTTGATTAGAATATTTATCTTCTGTTATCATCTCCACTTTCCTGTCCCTCTCTGCCTATCTGTATATCTTTAGTCAATGTGGAAAATTACCTTCTAGGGTCCTGTGGTGACGGATAATGGGAATTTTATCCTGGACTGGAAGTTTGACCGGGTACATAAGTGGAGTGAAGTGAATACAGCTATCAAGATGACCCCAGGTAACATGAGTGGCGTTCATTTGGCTTAGACACCTATGCCTGTCATAACTGTCTCCCACATCTGGCCACAGAAGTCACGAGGGATGTGGGCTTTGTAAGACTTGGTTGGAAAGAACTTCCTTTATACCATATTTGGGATTTCTAACTTCACTTCCTTTGCCTTTCTCCCCCCAGGAATAATGGTTGCTTCTCTTGCATCTTGGTTGCTTGTACATTTCGCAGCCTATTTGAGTTGGGGTAGTCCTGGAGATGATGGAAAGTCAGAGGGGCTTGCCTTGAAATATGGACACCATCTCTGGGAAGAGCCTTATCTTCCAGGAGCTTGACTGCAGCCTCTCTGATTTTTTGTGGGCTCTCTTCTTAAGCAGTGGGGAAAAATGACTCAGTTCTTCCACATTCATTGGATACATACCACAGGCAAGGTGCTGTGCCATCTGTTATAGGGGGTGCTCTGATCTATAGAACATGGAATCTGTCCTCAAGGGAGGACACATGGGAAAGCTGTGTGTGTGTGGCTGTGTAGAAGTCATGCCTTCAAATAAAATGGAATGTGCCGAATACTGCAAGAGGAGTATCAAGAATTTAGAGTGCACAGAAGTTGCTTTTGGAGAATGTGAGGATGTTCCATGGTGTAGAGATAGCTTTTTAAATTTTCTTTTCCCTTTTTAAATTTTTTAAAGACCAGTTAAGTGCAGTGGTGAGAAGGGGTGAAAGATTAGAACAAGGATTTCATTCTATGACTGACTGTAAACATTTATAAATTTTCTTTTCCCTTTTTAAATTTTTTAAAGACCAGTTAAGTGCAGTGGTGAGAAGGGGGGAAAGATTAGAACAAGGATTTCATTCTATGACTGACTGTAAACATTTGAGATAACTCAGTACTATTGGATCAGCCTGAAGGTGTTTTTTGACCTATGCCCTAGCATAGCAGAATCTAGGCATAATATAGACTCTCTGCTAAGTGTTTAAATATGTCTCATTTGATTCCCACTTTGATGAGGTGGTTATAGAGGAAGACACGTGCTGAGGAAGGTTAAATGATTTGCCCAAGGGCTGCAGCACCGAGATGGGAGCTCTAGGTTGTCTGCCTCTAGTCCCTGAACTTTAATTCCTCCTTTCTGGAGTTTTCAGACTGAGGAGAGGCTGTGTGACATGAACCCTTGGAGCACTGGTGAGCCTCTAATGCAGCTTGTGCCAGGAAATGATGGAATAAGGACCAGGCAGTGTGCAGAGGAGTTGTGAGGCTGGAGCCCTAGACCAGGCCGGGGAAGCTATTGAGGGCTCATAAAAGGGGACTAAAAGGAGGAGGCAGATTTGAGAGGTGTCAGTCTCTTATGATATTGAGAGATTAAGAGTCTAACTAGGATATTCTGTGTCATGGGATATTCTTGGGCCAGAACTGGCTAATGAGGCAAGTAAGGTCAGTTTAGCAGTGTGGTGGCTGAAAGCAGATCCTGGAGCAGACTGTCTGGATAAGGATCCCAAACCAGCCATGCTGTAGTAGTTTGAACTTTGAGCAGTTAACATCTCTGTGCCCCAGTTCTTCCTCTGTAAAAGGGGCTAATACTAGTACCTACCTCATAGGGTTGTTGGAAGGATTGAATTAGTTAAAACAGTGCCCAGCACACAGGAAGTATTTGCTGAATGAATATATCTCTTTGAACAAAGGATACTATCTTCATCATTAATTAAATATACTAGATTCTAAGTTGTCCATATCCGTTGGGAATGAAAATGTTGTGACTATAGAGAAGCTAATTCTTCCAACTCTACTTTATTCTCTTATTTTAGTCTTCTATTGACAATCTTTTACCAGATTTATTAAGTCAAAAAGATGAGTTAAATTATACTCATTCTGTTGCTTATGTTATGTTTTTAATGGAAGAACTACAGAGTCAGGAAGGCAGGAGGACACTTAGTAAAATGGGAGAATTTTCCCCTAATGATAATGCAGACAAATGCAGGGGACTGGGTAGGAAACAGCTCATCAGTGTCAGTGCTGTTCCTCTGTAGGTGGATTTCTCGCAGTGCCCACTAGGTAGCTCTCTTCCTCCTGCTCAGACCTAATGAGACATTGAAATTTCCTTTGTGAGGAAATTGTCCCCATGCTTTGCTCTCCACCTAAGTATGTGGAAACTAAATACTTACATCCTAGAGAAGTTCAGTTTTGTAAGGAACTTAGAGTGAGGAAATGAAAAAAATGGCCAGCTATTAAATTTCCTTTGTGAGGAAATTGTCCCCATGCTTTGCTCTCCACCTAAGTATGTGGAAACTACATACTTACATCCTAGAGAAGTTCAGTTTTGTAAGGAACTTAGAGTGAGGAAATGAAAAAAATGGCCAGCTATTAAATCAAATACTGTGGTGCCAAGAGGACCATCAGAGCAGCTTGTCTTTTTTCCCTATTTAGCCCATTAGATTCACTGCTGGACTACTCTCAAAGGAAGAGAAGCACGGCAGGTGTCCCTGTTTATCCCCATTGCCCTGCCCTTGTCCCATGTGCATTCATATATGTGAGGACACTTTGAGAACACCTCCCTTAGATGTTTCATTGGGTTCTACCCAGAGCAGAGAGACTCTTTATTGAAGGAACAAAGCTATTGGGGTTCTTTCCTCCATGTTCACAGTTAGCATCCTCTGCCGTTTCCCCACTATATTTTATTTTGTGGGGCGCAGGGGGGATCAGTCACTCCTAGCATTTCAGTAATTCAAAGAGCGGTTGCTCTAAGATCACACCTTAGACTGCTGCCTATTCATCTCTGCTCTTTCTATAAAGCCTTTTCTGAACCTGGTTTGATTTTCTCTTGGATCATATGGAAGCTTTCACCTCGTATTACAGAATTTTTGAAGAGGTGATGGGTCTTGAGTGGCTACTTCGCTCATCTTTAGGAGGCTCTAGTTGTGTAGGCATAGTTTGGGGCCAGGGACCTTTATATTTCAGTGGCTCTTTTCTCTACCTCATGACTTTTCATCCTGATAGGTGAGTCACCACCCCATTTTATTTATTGGGGACTATCTTTAGAAGTTTTAATTTTATTTATCCTTTGAAATTAAGTAGTTCATATTACAAGTGAACAGTGGCAAGTCCCCTATCCCCTTTCCCAGCCAACTGGTTACCCTATCTGGAGGCAGCCAGTGTTACCAAAATTTTGCAGTCTTTTAGAGGTGGTCTTTCATAAACACATAAGCTGAAACTTCCCCTGCCCCACCCCTTTTTACACATGTGACAGCATAGTATATACATGTTCTATTTCCTGCTTTTTTCCCATCTTGGAGTTTATTGGGTATTGGTTCACAAACGAGTTTCCTAGTTTTTTTTTTTTTAAGTAACTGTGTGGTGTTCCGTTTTATGGCTATATAACATAATTTGCTTAACCAGATTCCCACACGTGGACATTGTTTCCAGTTCTTTTCTAGAAAGGAATTATTAGTTCAAAAGAGAATGTGATTGTAAGTGTGAAAGGATAAATCTGTGATTTTGCTAGATGGTAATAAATTGCCCTCCACAGATTTTACCGATTTACTCTCCTACCGGCAATGTATGCAGGTACCTGTTTCCCTACATACCAGGTTCATCAAACTTTTTCTCTGATAGTTGGACAGTGTAGTGTTATCTTATTGTAGTATGTGTGTGTGTATATGTAAATATTTTGGTAAAGGTCACATGTAGTTGTAGTCAGTTCTCTTTGTTGAGTAGTGTTTCATCGTATGTGTGTGGAAAAAATGTTTGTATATCCATTCTACTCTTGATGAGCATTTGGATATTCCCAGTTTTTAGCTATTAGGAAAAATGCTGCTATGAACTTTCTTATACATATCCTTTGATGACCATGTGTATGTCTAACAGTTGTATGTCTGGAAGGAGAATTGCTGAGTGCTCAGGTATGAATATGTTCAGCTTTAGAAGATGTACTAACAAACATTTTCCAAAGTGGTCTTACCAGTTTACCTTCCACCATCAATGTGAGAGAGTGTCTTTGCATCCTAGCCAAATTTCATTACACTCATTCTGGTGAGTGTTTAGTGATAGCTTGTAGTTTTAATTTGCATTCCCTTTTGACTAATGAATTTGAGTACCTTTTAAAAATCTTTATTGGCCATTTTGTTTGTTTTTTGGTGACTGGCTGATACGGGAACTGAACCCTTGACCTTGGTGTTACAAGGCTTGTTGGCCATTTTGAATAGCTTTTTTTGTAAAGTACCTGTTTGAGTCTTTGCCCATTTTTTCTATTGGGTTGTCTGTCTTAATGATTTGAGTTGTTTATATACTTTGATTTGGGTCTCTTGTCAGATATACGCCTTACAAGTATCTTCTTTCACTCTGAGGAAATCTTTCAAGGCTGGTATTGTGATTAAAAATAACTGGGAGTGGCAGCTTCTTAGAGTAGTCACAGAGGGTCTCCCTAGAAGATGACTGATATACGTATCTGAAGGACAGAGAAGAGCCAACCCCTGGAAACTCTTCAAGATGACTAGTGCAGGCAAAGGGAACAGCATGAGCAAAGGCCCCAGGGCGGGACAAAGCTTGGCATATTTGGGTAGAAAAAAGAAAGCCAAGATGAGGGGAGAAGAGAGTGGCAAGAAGAAATAAGGATAATCAGAATCTCTTTTTATTGCTGTGTGGTAGAGGAAGACTTTAGATTTGTCATTTGTCTAGTGCCGCAGATGACAGTTGCTTCTAGTACCCTACGATTCTTGATTCTCTTCTTGCCTTGGAAGCTGAAACTTAATGTTTCTTTTGATCCTTTGTCCTGCAGGCGTGGTGGATACAGGTCTGTTCATCAACATGGCTGAAAGAGTTTACTTTGGGATGCAGGATGGCTCAGTGAACATGAGGGAGAAGCCTTTTTCTTGACCCAGCAAGGTGAAGAGTGTGTTCACCTTGAGTATCCAGCCCACAGCCAAGGTGGATGTGCCTCGCCAGGAGCCTTTGCCTTAATGTATCTGTGCCAGGGTGGACAGCTGGCAGGGTGGGGGTGGGGGGGAGTGGTTAAATCTGAAGTATTGTTATTATAAATGTCTTTTTAAAAAGAGAAATATAAACATATATATTTTTACTATTAAAATATTCAGTTTTTAAAAAATTAAATAGCACTTGATTTCATGTTTTATATGAAATATTTACCAAAAAAAAAAAGGTGGGGTTCTGTCTTGTCTTTAGATAAAACCTTTGACTTGAGCTGGCTGTTTTAGCTTCTGCATATTGGGTTTGCTGAGAAAAAAAAAATCAAAACTTTTCTTTAAGCTGGTGAAATGAAGGGCCCAGCCAGCAGTGATCTCCTGATGCCTTACTGGAAACTGTGGAAACTTTGTTTACTTTTCTGCCACTCATTGTTTTGTTTTTAGTTAGTTTTCATCATGATTACGCACAATACCTAGTTAGATCTTAAGATCCAGGGTCACAAACGTCTTTCGAATGGAGCAGTATGGCATGTAGTGAACGTAAACTTTTCATCATGATTACGCACAATACCTAGTTAGATCTTAAGATCCAGGGTCACAAACGTCTTAGATCTTAAGATCCAGGGTCACAAACGTCTTTCGAATGGAGCAGTATGGCATGTAGTGAACGTAAACTACCAGGGAGAAAATGTGGTTGTACTTTCCCTAAGATCAGGGGTTTTGTTAAGGTCAGTATGGTTGGAAGTAATTGCCTAGAAATACTTGCCAATACTGCCAAAGCACTGCTGTGAAATGTGAAATATTTGTTTTTTAAAGATGATTTTCTTTTTGTTGTTAATATTTTTTCTGTTCCTTTATTATTACTTGCATGGTTTGGCATCAGAAGTCATACCTTTTTATATTGTTTGAAGGCTGAAATAAAACAGTGTGGTGCCACTTTGACTCTTTGTCTTTCCTGTAGAATTTGTAGTAAAATGGGAATCAACTTGGCTCACCTGGTTTACATGGGATCTTTGATAAGGGGTTGAATTCACTGGGAAAATCTTAAGCCCGAGAGTAGGTAAATACTTCCTTTATTTTTAGGAGAGCTTGGTGTCAGTTATCTAAGGAAATATTTATTCCATAGACCTTTTTCAAACAGGGTATTAATTTTCTTTGTTAATGGAGGGTATCATAGCTGAACAAAAGCCACAAATTATTCCCAAATTTTATATAAGTTAAATTTTACTTCATTAGTCATGGAAGCTGATGAGCAATAAAATAGGTGACCTGAATTTCCTCTTTATCCCCCTCACTCTGTGATGTTTGGACAATCTGCCTAATAAGCAGTGAACTGCCCAGAAAACAGCCTCACAGATAGGGAAAGGCCCTGATGATTCTAGACAAAACTCAGGAACCCATCCTGTGGCAGAGCTGAGAGCCCTGATTTCCCCTGTGCTGATTTTGCACAGTACGTGAACGGTTATTTCCCTGTGCTTACCCTCTGTTTTGAAGCTTGAACTATAATTATCGAACTTGCTGGCATCTAAATTCCTGCTAATAAATCAAGTTGTGGAATAAAAGTTCATCAGGACTGAGCATTAAGGAGGCTTTTTGCTCCTTGGTGAATTCCTTCTTGACTCTCAAGGTGCTCTTTAAAAACAGTTGTCTCAGATATTGTTAGGGAACCGATTGTTAGGAGTGCTTCATTTTTCTTTAGACTTATGGTTTGGGTGATAATTTTTTCAGAAAACAGGCACTAGATCTTAGCAGAAAAAACTTGATAGAACTAGTTTTTGAAATAATCTTGATAGAACTAGTTTTTGAAAGCTCTTCTGGCATGGATTAGATTTAGGAATAAAGATAAACAACAAAGTTAAACTGGGTTTCTGAAAAACACCTGCATGCTCCACATCACATGTAAATCTTCTGTGGGTTTCATAGGCATTCACACCTGTGATTCAACTGTTGTTCCTTTGAATGATAATGTTAGGTTTTGCTGATCTTGAAGAAAACAAAACACCTGCTGTGCTTTAAGCACATACACAGCAGTTTGCTCTAGAGATAAGTTTTGACTAAAGATCTTCAATAAAATTGTTATTAAATGCAGTCTTGCTGGTGATAAGTAGGATGGAAAAATTTGTCAGTATGTGTTATCAATCTGGGGCACAGGGTGAGCTGTGAGTTTGGTGTTTGGGAAAGGCTTATAACCAAGAGAGGCTGCCACACTCTGGGAGGCATCACAGGAGAAAAATCCATTCTGTTTGGTTTCAGCTAGAGCTTCTCCTAAGGTTTTTTTTTTTTTTTTTTTCCTTTTTGTCTTTTTTTGTGACCGGCAACGGATCGCAACCCTCAGTGTCGCGCCCGTACCGGACCGGGACCGGCAACGGGATCGCAACCTTCGGTGTTGCCCCCGCACCTCGCTCAGCCAGTGAGCGGGAACCGGTCTGTATGTGGGATCTGAACCCTCGGCGGGAGCGCTGCCGTGCTTCCAAAGCGGCGCACTGTAGCAGTGCGCCACCGGGCTGGCCCATCTCCTAAGGTTTTTATGCTCTTCATTTATCAAACTTTTTCTGAGCTCCCATTATGGGCCAATCCCTGGTGAGCACTAGTGGGAGAGAGAGGATGGGACAGAGGTGTGATATTACAGGTGTTTCCAGCCTGGTGAGCGAGAGGTAGGTTGAGAGAGGAATGCCATAATGGAGGAGCATGGAATGTTGAAGGAATTCAGGATGAGCACAGTGGGAAGAGGTGGGCAAGGTGTGGGAGAAGTGGCTATCAGGGGACGCTGGCAACAGCTTCCTGCGCGTCATCGCTGCTTTGACTCTATCAAATCAATTTTTTTTTTTTTTTTAAGATGACCGTTAAGGGGATCTTAACCCTTGACTTGGTGCTGTCAGCACCACGCTCTCCCAAGTGAGCCATGCATGGGCCGGTCCTTATCAAATCACTTTTAACTAAAGTTAGATAATGTGCCAGTTTATGGTGGAGAAACAGGCCTGAATAGGATAAGCCACTTGGTCACAGACACAAAGCCCATTAGTTACAAAGCCAGCCTGGAACCCCTGGTTTTCAGGTTGGGAGTTTTGCAGTCTCTGGGAGAATATTCTTGTTGGCCATAAGAAGCACCAGGGATGCCACATTGTGACACTTTATGGGAAAATTCCAGTGGATATAGACAAGTTTTAAAGAAAATCTAATTTTAGAGTATCTTATCAAGAGGCTAGTTTATATTAGAGAAGGGCTTTGCTTTAACGTGCTCTTTTTTTAATGTACTATTTCAGTAGTTTCAATCTTTCATTTGAAGGTGGGGAAGTAGGAAACTATCATGTTTGAACATTTACTGTGTGCCAGGCGCTATGCTGGGCCTTTGCCCTGTTATCTTACAGCAACTTTATGGTGATTGTTTTCTTAATTTGCAGAGAGAGAAACTGAGGCTCAGTTTAAATAACTTGCTCAATCATACATAAGAAAGCAGGCCAGACTTCTGTGGCTGCAGGCCTTACTCCTGCTTCAAGGTGGTTGTAGGGCTTTGAATAGTTTGTGTTCCTTAATTGTGTCCATCAGTTGTAACTTGAGTCACAAGTAATTTGTTAAAGTACTGAAGTTAGTGAATGGTTTATTTTATGTATGTGTGTTTGTGTAAGCTCATGGTTAATCCTATAATATTAATTTCTGCATTCTGATGAGTTGTCTTTCATGGGAAAAAGGAGTAGAATATTGTACATAATCTGGGGTGAGCCATGGGAAAGAGCCTTTGTAGAAATCATCTTCATCTGACACTCTGGAGTGAAGCTTGGAAGCCATTGATCTTTTTCTTTCTCCCCTATGCTTGTTTCTCCCCCTCTCCCTTTTTCCCTGTGACATAGGCACAATGGCAACCATAGGCATTTCTAGCCTCCCAAGGAGCATTTGTGGTTAAGGATTGTTAATTCCCCTTAGCCAAAGACCATTCAGGAACACACACACAGTTGAACAAAGTTGGGTTTATTGGTTCATTGAATGAGGGAAATCACTTGCTGTGGATAGTTGCAGGGTATTTCAGTCAAAGTATGTTAGGACTTAGAGGATTTGGGCTTATGTTTGGATTTAAGGAACCAGGGCTTTGCTCTGGACTGGTTATGAACAGGAAACAGGAGTAATTATAGGTGAGAAGAATGGAGTGAGGCTAGAGCTGGCATTGGTAAAGAGACAACAATTACTTATTAGCTAAGACAGGGATATTTAGTAATTTTTGTGACCTGGACAATGTTCATGCTTTGTTTGTTCAGATATGATTATGGAGGGTTCTTGTTTTTGTCTTAAAGTCACAGAGTGGCCTGCCTGAGGTTGATATTCTGTGAAATTGTTTATGTTCAACAGGAGAACACAACAGCATAGCTGTGGGTGCCAGGCTGGCTCGCAGCAACACCAAGGCCTGACTGATAGAGCCAGGCCAGCTCCTGGATGTCAGGACAGCATTTCCTTCTCAGGATCCAGAGGACCCCAGGATATATCCAGAGGACCTGAGCATTTCATAACCAACTCTTCCACACCCTTTGATTGACTGATATTTAGCACTCGCTGTGTACTGGGTACTGGGGTGGGGGAGTCAGGTCCCAGATACTCTATGATGTGGCTCCAGCCCTCAGAGTTCACTGGTGCTATGACAACCATTTCTTGTGACTTTCTTTTCAGATGCCTGCCTGCTCATTTCCTGTCATACTTAGCAGCTGATGCAGCCAGATTTAGGATTGCATCAGCCTTCACTCTCTACTAACCTGGTTATCAGATGAGGTTTTTGACATAGGTCAGTGCCTTTGCTTTTTTAGTAGCGGGGTTGTATTGCAGGGTAGCAAAACACTCCAATATAGCCTAGCATTCAAATATGCCCAAGTTGACCTTGGCAGATAAACAACTAGTGGTTCTTTGAGAAGGATGGAAGTATGACAGTTAACATGGGTGATGGGGTGGAGGTGGAATCCAGACAGAAGCAAAGGTCTTCCCTGGAAAGACAGCCCCACACAGTGTTCTTTGGCAAACGCATTATGTGGACTGATGAACAGAATAAATTCAGTGTTGAAACCCCATTCTGTTATGTCAGATCACTGAGAACCATTTCTGCTCAACATCAAGCTTCCATCTCAGGGGACCAAAGTTCTGGCTGACTGCACATCTGTCA